AACAGTACAGTGGGGTCGGGGCATAGTGGAGACGAGGAGGTCACAGGTTTACAGGAATTTTTAAATCTGAAAGTGATAAAATCACTTTCGAAAAAACGCTTCGATGCAAATCGATAGTTAGTATTTTCGAGCCAGTACAGTCCAAACCAAGCACAGTATAAACCAGCAAAGTTAGAAAGTATTAAATTGACGTTCTGTATTTACAAATAAGCATCAAAGCGTTTATTTGAAAGTGATTTTATACAAGAGGACTAGTACAGTAGAGTATAGGTATAATGGAATCAAAGCAACGAGGGGACGGAGAGGTCACAGGTCTAGAGGAATTATTATAAAAAAAGTGATAAAATTGAATATGCTCTTTAGTCTATTTTTTTACAACACAATATTTGTAAAACTGTTTAAATATGTACACAAATTTTGTACAACAATATTATGCATTTAATTTGCAATGTACACTGTTCAGTAACGTTTCAACTTACTTGGAATTTATTATACCGTTGAGATTTACATGATCTCTTGTCGTGGTTTCCACAGCCTTCTGTGGAATATTTTGCTTAGATCTTTCAACGAAATTAAGCGCATTTCCAATAAAATTGATTTATTGTCATCAAACGATTTTTGTATAGCATCGATTTTTTTCATACGGATCTCTAAAATCTATTTGTTGCGCAAGTAATCTAAAAACAGACAATTTACTCTATAGTTATAAAAAGTACCAATTTGTGATTTTCTTTTAATGATGTTTGGTTAATGCCTAACCAGTATGCGTGGATAATTAAGCCCATAGTTAGTTTTTGAGAGTCTTGATATGTTTTTGACAAATCTTGATACTGTTGGTAGGATTCTAGGTAATTTTCTAGTTGTAATATTGTGTCGTTGGTATTTTGTCTTTGTGAAACCAGCCTTTGAATCATAATTTTCACTTATTTTTACATCTATAGTGTTTAACCAATATTCAAGTACAGTCGTAGGTTCAAGGCCGTATTTAGGAATTTGTCACCCTGGGGCAACAAAAAAAACGCCTTATTATAATATAATACAAATTTAATGCAATATAATAAAATTTAGCCGCCCTCTAATAATCAGCGCCCGGGGCAACAGCCCCCTGTTGTCCCCTCCTAAATACGGCCCTGCGTAGCTTCGTCGTTTTCTTTCCATATGGTAAGCTATCTTGTCTGTAAGGATTTAATGTGTGCTATAAACTTTTTTCATTTTCGTATTTGGACGTACATGGGATTATATTTAATTTGAAAAACTAGTTAAATGTATACGGTTCTTTTTTAGTTTCATAAGATATCCTCTTTAATTTTTACTTCTGACTGAAAAAAACTTGTATGATGTTACTGTGGCATCAAATTGTCGTTAAGGTAAATATTGATTATGTATTAATCATTTTGTGTGATTTTGATTGTTATCTAATATTTGACGTCAGTATAATTCTATAATTTTTCAGTACAATGTTAAAATATGTGAACTGGAAGATAGTGGCTGGAGGAGCGGCGGTGTTTGGAGCCGGCGCAATAGGCGGGTGGTATTACCACCGATGGTATTCGGTAAGTACAAATTAAACAGCATCTGACACCGGCTTTATACAATTTTGATCTATTAAAAGGTTGTCTCTGTCTCTGAAAGTTGCGATTTTCTCAAAACGAATGCCGCTTAAAAATTCGAAATTAATGGAGGGTGGCAAATTATGCAAGCTGTCCCGACCCGGCGTTTCCCGGGTATATATGTATTAGACATGGTCATGTATTAGACAAACAATCAGCTGTATCCCTGTGGTATGAAAAATGGCACCGTAGATAGATCTACGGTGTAATTTTTCATAACTATTGATACTATCGATAATCATATTAAATTTAAAAAAATTGGGGTGGACCACCCTTATCACTTAGGGGTATGAAAAATAGTTAACGTCCTATTGTCAGATCTACTGAATATACACACAAAAATTCATAAGAATCGGTCAAGCCGTTTCGGAGAAGTTTTGTTACAAACACTGTGACACGAGAATTTTATATATTATATAGATTGTTACTAATGACCCAAAGAATTATAAACCGATGTCATTATTATCAGTGGTATATAAATTGTTTGAAAGAGTACTGTTAACAAGAGTTCAAAACACAAACCGAAGAGAATCTGCCGAAGGAACAAGCAGGTTTCAGATCAGGAAAAAGTTGTTGTGAGCAAGTTTTGTCACGCATGTAGAAAACGGATTTCAGAAGAAAATAAAATCAGAGGCGGGTTTCCTCGACCTAACGAAAACTGAACTTAGAGGCTCAGGAGTTAATATACAATGAGAAGGCTCTCCGAAATACCTGGAATTAAAGTTAGACAGGACTTTGACCTTCAAACAACATTTAGAAGGAGTAAAAAACAAAATAAAAACAAGAAGCAATATAATCAGTAAGCTAGCCGGAACAAGCTGGTAGTGTAGGGCAAATGACTTTCGCACTATTTGGTCTATCGACAGCACAACAGATAATCCGGAGGATTTGTGGAAGAAAATTTGGAGAGATGAAAACGTGGTTAATGGCCTCATCGTCAATGATCCGAATCAGAGAGGCCCAGGATTTGAACTCGTGTTGTGGACCGCTCAAAACCGGATCAGAACAGAACAGGGAAATTGTAATTTCGTTTACAATAATTGGAAAATTGTAGATACACCACTCTGCGAGTGTGGACAGGTACAAAACATCAAACACGTTGCAGAGGTATGCCCCCTAACAGTGAGGCCCAAGATTGGCTAAGTAGCCTGGAAGCTCACCTTTAGAGCTAGATACGTGTGTTGCAGGCACATTTTTCTATTTATATGTCTATTTAATAATTTATAATTTTATATATGTTAATTTCAGTTATTTATCTTTTTTATTTTTTTTTTAGCAATTAAGATTTGATGATGATTTATTTATTATTTCCAAACAGAACATACATAGTTTACAATACATGAGTAATAAAGGAAAAAGTTTGTCTCCAAAAGCCTGATGCTTGTGGAGGAGACAAGAGTTCATATCTCATGTCTTAAATTTATACATTTTTCTGTTTTCAATATTTAGATAATTTACAAATGAAAAATAACAGTATAATATACCAATATTATAAGAACAAATAAAAAACAAAAAGAAGTAGATTGTAATAGTTAGTAAGTAAGTTAGCGTGTAAGCATACATTTTCAAAATTTTGACACTCGTAATTTATAGATGAAATATTTTTTATATAACTTAACACTTCACTGCATAATTTTTTTTTTAACCATATGCTATAAATGTACTTAATACTACTTAAAAAAATAAAAATAAATTTGTTTTGAGTTTTGGTTTCATGGAAAACGCTAATTTAAGAATTTGGAACATTATGGAACATTGTGCATACAAAGATGTATAGCATGAGCAGATATAAACAATAAATACAATCGTTCCATATTATGGAACATTGTGCAGTGAAGGGTTAAAACTATGGAAACTATTTATATCAATACACAAAGAATTACAGAGTTTCAAACCCATATAATACGGATTTCTTTTACAAAATTCACTATTACATTTAAAAATTGTAAAAACATTTTTAACAATTTTAATATAATACACGTCAAATGGTTAGATTAAAATTAATGGTTAAAATTAAAATCTTTATGGTTGGAGTAATACAAATTACGTAAAATTTAATTTGCATGGAGTTGTTTTAGATTAAGTAAATTGTAGGTATTGAATATAATATTTGTATGTGTATAGTAGGGTTTTTTGAAAGCAATCCTGAGTAAGGAATTTATCGTTGTTATAAGTTTTTTAAATGCGCATCATAAGCTCCTCTCCAAGCAGCAATTCCATAAGAGAAAACTGACTGAGCAATTGCACAATAAATCATTCTCGTGGTGTTGGTCAATAAAATATTGTTTAGAGTTTTGAAAATATAGAACATGCTTCTAACTTTTTAGAAGAACTATATCCCATTTTCAATATCGATCAATAGTCACACCAAGGTATTTTACAGAATCAACAGATTTGATATGACTACAAAAATTGCTATGAGTATTATTTAATTTAACTCGCTGTGTGCAATTTGTTAGAAAAGTTTTGTTAAGATTATTCGCTACTCCACGAATGCCATATGTGTCTAATTTTTTTAGTAACAAATTATGGTCTACTGAGTCAAAGGCCTTTTTTACATCTAAAAAATTCCAAGTACTAAAACGTCACCCTCATCAAGTTTTTTGTAAATAGAAATTATTCGACTTTGTAACGCTTTAAAAGCACATTTATTATTTCTTAAACCAAATTGTCTTTCAAAAAAAATAGACGATTTTTCCAGAAACACATACAATCTTATTTTTATACATTTTTCCAATACTTTGGATAAAGTATAAGTCCGAGATATCGGACGATAATTAGTACAGATATTTTTATTCTCCGGTTTATAAACTGGGATTATAGTAGTTTCCTTAAGCACGTGTGGGAAAATTCCAGAAGTAATTGATAAGTTAAATATATGTTCCAAAGAGTTATTATGTGGTCAATAATTTGTTTTAAAATATAATTTGTTAGGCCATTATCATAAAATGAAATGCTTCCCTTACGATTCGCGGACGAATATGTTTGGTTATTAAAAATGTATCACGTGGTGTTGCGGAAAAGTACGCAAGCTGTTAACATATAATATGTAATACCTATGTGTTTTTGTGACAGTTTTTTTCGATTTATTTGCCAAAGTAATATACTACCCCCACTCCCATTCCAACCCCTACCCTTAACCCCAAATCCATTCACACCCCCACCCCTACCCCATCCCTCATCATTTATCTCTAATCTCTTATCGGTTATGTGCCAGAAATAAGACATAAAAATGTAAGTATAATAATGTTTTTTTTTCCAAAACAGTCGGCAGTGACATCGACCTCCGCACCTGCCCCTCAACCGGCTAAGAGTACGGCCACGTATTCCGGGACTTCTCAACCGGATAAGACTACGGCAACGGATTCTGGGACCGCCCCTCAACCGGCCATGAGTACGGCAATGCATTCTAGGACCGCCCCTCATCCGGCCATGAGTACGGCAATGCATTCTAGGACCGCCGCTCAACCGGATAAGACTACGCCAACGGATTCTGGGACCGCCCCTCAACCGGCTAAGAGTACGACCACGTATTCCGGGACTTCTAAACCGGATAAGACTACGGCAACGGATTCTGGGACCACCCCTCAACCGGCCATGAGTACGGCAATGCATTCTAGGACCGCCCCTCAACCGGATAAGACTACGTCAACGGATTCTGGGACCGCCCCTCAACCGGCTAAGAGTACGGCCACGTATTCCGGGACTTCTCAACCGGCTAATAGTACGGCCACGTATTCCGGGACTTCTCAACCGGATAAGACTACGGCCACGGATTCTGGGACCGCCCCTCAACCGGCTAAGAGTACGGCCACGTATTCCGGGACTTCTCAACCGGATAAGACTACGGCAACGGATTCTGGGACCGCCCCTCAACCGGCCATGAGTGCAGATTGGAATGTAATTACTGAAGAAAATTTTCACTTGTTTGTCCCGAACATTTACGATCGAGGGCAAACATTTGATTTTATTGTTCAGCAAATCGAGAAATGTAATCCGGAAACCCGGCGGAACGGACGAAAATACGGACTTATTTGTGCATTGAATCGTACAGAAATAAGGCACCTAATACGTGTCGTGGGATACCGCCTAAAAAAAAAGATAATAAAAAAAAGAAACTTCGAGAAGAGAAGGGGAGGCGAGAAGATGATGAAGAATCATGATGTAAATTTAATGTCATTTATATAGAAGATTATCAATATTTTGTGCAGCCTGACATAAATTAATAAGTAATATGCTTATATAATATTCACCTAGTGCATCAATAAAATCCTGGTGATTAACAAGAACTACTCTTCTTCGTTTATTGATCAGGTTCTGTTTTCCATAAACTCGCCATTCGACAGATAGTAAATCAGATATTTGTTGACCAAAATATGCAATTAATATGCATATAAAAAATGTATCTTAATAATGTTATTTTTATTTCGCAGTTATGTGTTTATTAAGGGTCCGAAACTCACATTTAAGAGCAACTATAGCTACTATATAATTATATAGTATTTTTAATAGTAAGGAGTTAAAAAAAAAAAACCACAAAAGCAAATTTATCATTATTAGCTGTGTTCTTTGTATTTATGTGGGTTGAAAACCTTTTATGGAGATTTTAAAAATTGTGTTTTTTTAATAATAGTATAGGAGCAGTATCATAAAGTTAAATGTTCACGAGATTTGATCCAGTCATAAAATAAAGAATTATCATTCATGACTTTTAATTATTATTAAAATACAGGGTGATTTTTTTATAACGAGCCACTCAATATCTCATATCTCATAGGGTTTAATAAGAAATTACAATATATTTTTTTCATATTGTTTTTTTACAATGTGATCTCAATTTTTCACATTTTTTTTTGTTTTTACCCCTCTCCCAACTTATTTTTTTTGATAGCAACTTTTGAAACTTAATGGTAACGTATATATTTTATTAACTATGTATGTTGAGAATAATGTACTAAGAATTTTGACTGGTCGATAACCAGTTTCGGATAACTATTTTTGAAGTTGTTGAAGTTTCAAAATTAGGGCAGGAGGAAAGGTGGAGTGTAGTATTATTTTTATCTGCACGCATTTCCCACCCGCACTTCCCCTCCCATTCTAACTTTAAAGCTCTTTTAACTTTAAAATAAGTTATACAAAACTGGTTATCGATCAGTCAAAATATTATTTTCAATTTAAAAAAAAACCAGTACAGTGGGGTCGGGGCATAGTGGTTTTATTTCATTTTATCACTTTTATTTGTAATAATTTCTGTAGACCTGTGACCACTCCGTCGCCTCGTTGCTTTGATTCCATTATGCATAGGCATAATGGAAAATATATTAGAATAAAGATTCTACTGTACTAGGCCTCTTGGATAAAATCACTTTCAAATAAACGCTTTGATGCTTCTATTTTGTAATTTTATCGGTCATTTAAAAAACGACACATCAGTAAAATTCCTCACTGTATTGGCACTATATTTTGGATGTGTTCAAAGTGTAAACAATATTTATGTCAAACCAAAGACAAGCAGTGCTTTGAAGACTACCACGTGAAATAAAAATAAGAGTTTTGAATTTCATGAAATTAATTTTTTTGTAATATTTTAATTAAGAGAAAAGTAATTAAGATGTAATTAATTAGTAAAGATAAGTAGTATAGATAGTAGAGAGTAGAAGATAGTATTTAAGAGAAAAGTTTGTTTCATTTCATTATAAGTAATTAGCGCTCACGCGCGGTGTTGCTTAGAAGCAACAAATAAAAAATGCTCGATTTGAATATTAAAAAATAATTTGTGAATTTTATGAATATTTTTCCCGAATTCCTGACTCATTATTTAGTTTAAAAACAATATAAAAACATTTTTTAAAAAAATTGCGCATTGAAGGGTTAACTACATAAAATACTGTTGTATTCTGTTGTTGGAAAAATAAGTTTGTTGTTTGAACTTATATTATATTGTAATGTAAGATAATAAGGGAATCTGAATGTATGAACACAATAATTATAAAATTACATGTTAACTAGAATACAAGATATCCAATAGGGCTGTAATTTAGAATAGAATACCTCTTTTTTTAAATATTCCAATATTCGAATAATTGTATAATAATGTACATTTATAAATAGGTTGTAATTCCTACTTATATCATTGTAGAATAATTTTATTTTAGTAATTAAAAATATTTTCAGTCCGATTCTACACAGCCCGGACCGATCTAGTCCAATAAAATAAATGCAACTGGCTGGATTACATTCACCATACAAAGTCTACAGATACATTAATTAGAGCATTTGTTTATTTAGTTTGTATTATAATCTTTTATGTTTTAACATAATGACAGTTGTCAATTTTTACAAGAAAATGTGTATAATTTTATTGTAGTTATTAGCTTCGATGCAAAGTAGAGATGCTATTAGTTTTACCATAATGTGTGTTTTTTTTTTTTTGTTGTATACACTGTAACTTTTTTAACCAACATCCAAACCATCTGTTTTCCACACAGATTGTTGTAATGTAAACAAATGGTGAATTCCTATAGGTATCACAAACATTGAATATTATAAGAAAAAAAGTAAAAAAAGAAAAAAATCATAACGATTACTCTACAATTGGCTACAATTCCTATTAAAGACATTTTAACACTTAAGGACAAAAAACCTAAATAGAGTTTACATTATAGAGAAAACCATACTCTAGTATTTTATATTTAAAAAAAAATTATAGCCTATAAAAATACACTTTTAATGCACACAATTCAAGAACGTATGGGAAAAGCTTGAACACAATTAGCCCCCATCCCCAAGCATTCGCCCTTGTCTCTATAGTCTAAAAATGTATATAATATTTCAACTTGAAGTAAGTGACGGGATTTTGGTACAATATCCTCTCTTGTAAATGCCCTGGACGCAAGTCCCTTGTTTCTTATTATTCATATTATAATTTAACTTGCATATTGAATTTTAGTTAAAATATCTGTGTTGTACAAAAACCAACAATATGTTTTCATAAAATACAGTATTTATTCAATGATTGTAGCAATGTAAACAAACTACAAATACCTGTTGGCAAGACAATACATTGTTAGCTTATGTGTAAACATAAGATTGAAAACAAATTTTAAATGCTAGTTAAATAATGAAATTGTGACGATTAATGTGCGGTTTCCCTTGGGCGAACGCGAACACGAACCGCGATCTAAATTTTCAATTAAAGATCGCGTTTGCTCAGTATCGGTTTATAATAGATAGATACAATGCACTTCAAAATCTCAATTATTTTGCTTCTAACTTGTTTGATGTTTGTCGAATCCACTATAGTACTAAATAATAATCAAGTGAGTTTTAATAATTTGTTTGACTAAAACTTTTATTTTAAAATGATTTCCATCTAATATTAGGTATACAGGATGTCCCACAAAGACATAAGAAATTTTGACTAGCTTTGGAAATTGTTCTCAATAAAATGGTTGATCTTGAAATTTTCAAAAATGTAACAAAAAAAAATTAATAAAATTAATACCAACTATGGTGCTTATAGCACAAATGAATATAAATTAATTTAAAAAAAAAACTCAGCAGAATAAAAACTGATTTCATTTGATATGTCTTTGTGGGACACCTGCACAGCAAGTGTTAAACATTATTTGTTTGTTAAATTATTTATAACACACGAAAAATGTGTAATCATTTTTAGCCTCATCACTGTCCGATTTAATATAGGTACTAATATTTTTTATTTTTATTTTAAAAGTCTTTAAATCTGTTGGGTATAGTTTGCATAACTCTTGTCTTAGTGATTTCCATTAAACTAAATAATATTTGTGAACTTAAGCCAACAATGAAATAACGTTTAAAATAATTTATTTGTACAATTTGTATATTGTGTATTAGCACAATTAGGCTTATAAAACTAATGTGGAGTACACATATCTTCTATTACAATTACAACAGTTTCTAAATTAGTTAAAAAACAAAAGTTTTTTAGATTTGATTTTTTCCAGAATCAGGAAATTATAATACATATTACATAATAATACATATACAAACTGTTTGATTGTTAGTTGCATATTGTTCTCTAGTCTGCAAAAAATGTTTGTGAATGAAATTTATTAAATAAGTAAAAAAAAACTTTTCAGATGGTATATCGTGTCTGGCAACATATCAAGACTAGACCCGCAATGGCAACGCATTTCCACATAACCGTACCGCAACTTGAATATTTAGCGGCAACAAATAATATTCCAAACCTAGGTAACCATTAGACATTTTAATTTTTAATTTTATAAAAATTATTTATTGTTAATGCAAAGCTAAGACCATTGATTATGTAATAGACATACATAATCAATGCTATGACTTAGACCTTCCTCTCATATTATCAAGGGAACTCGACTAGAGCTTCCGTTTTTCTATTAGTACTGTTTGAGCAGAGCGATCAACATTTTATGTTATTAATTAATAATAATAATAATTATACTGTTACAATATTTAACATTTAAGTTAAAATAATTGTGTGTGAGGGTAGATTATACACCTTTTTATGTGGATACAACGCAACAGGTTTACATAGGTGTATATAGAATTTTTTAATTTTTTTAAAATTAAAAACCCCTAATAAAAGTATATTTGCAAAATATATGCTCTGAACATGTGTGTGAGAATTTTTTTAATTCACTATATAAATATTGTACAATATTATTTTTTAATTAAATATATTTTATCCTATTTTAAGTAGTTAGTTGCTAATGATTTTAATTTCATATATATATTATAACTTATAACTTATAACCCACTCGCTTTTCCACCGCATACAATTTTTGGAATAAATCATTTATATATTATTTTCAAGTATAACTTAAATCATAAAAAAATTGGGAAAAAAGTATAAATTTACATTACAAATTAAATTCAACATATATGTATTAGCGTTGTATGTTATTTGATAAAACAATTATTGATTTAATACACTCGATAACAATATTTTTAAATAATAATTTAAGTATATTACATTGTATTTTCCCGGGTTTTGTTAATTAACAAAACGGTGTAAAATTACTCGTAACTATCATCTGAATAAAAGAAACTAAAATTGTAAAAAATACAATAAAATATAAAAGTTGCTTAAAACGTCCAATTTTCTCTTGAATAAAGTATTAGGATATTCAAAAGTGAGTTAACAAAAAATATCTAATAGAACAAGAAAGAGTTTTTATTTGAATTTTTTACAATATGGTGTATTATTGTATAGTTTTGTCCATAACTACTTTTCATTTTTTTGGCGATCTGATATCGTTATTCTTTAAAAAATAAAGTATATGTTGAAATTTTAAATTAAATTTACTTTTTTGCGATTCTTCAGACAATGTATCGTTTGAGCATTTTAGGTTGCTTGCAAGTCAGGTTGTTAATAATGGATGGAATACTCTAGAGAATATCTTACTAATGCCAACCCACACATGACGCG